GTTGTAATTTTTATGACCAGCAATTATTGCAATTTTGAGATTTCGATTTGATGTGCTCCTCATATCAGTTTAATTTGATTTGAGATATAATATGCGAAAACAAACTAATCGGTCAAGTGTTTTTAGCACCCAAAGCCCACACTTTTTGCAACGGTAATCTTTTCGGTTTGAACATAATATGTATTATAATATTATTATAATTGAACATCCAGTAATGACTTCGAGTACTACGCCTTTTGTAGCCCACCGTATATACGTAATTATATTCCYTTTTTTAATAAAGCGTACAACGTAATAGACATGTCATAAGCGAAGGCATAAGCTAATACTAGGCAAGAGTAAATTGATTTACATTATTTTGCTAACAATTAATTTGTTTACTTTTTGGCACTTCAGATTAATTTTGTTCTCCAAACCTGATCGTAGAAAGTTCAATGAATTGCAGTTCGTGCAAATTGACTACGGTATTTACAWATTTACATTATTACATACAGCAAATTAGGAATCTAACAAATTTTGCTGAAAATACAGTATTCTCGGGAACAAGATCTCTAGTTTAAAAATATTATCAACTGCGACTTTTCTTAATTATAAAAAAAAAATTATAAAAAAATTAATAAAATTTTGCATAAACTTAGTTCAGAAATTTCTCAAACCATTTTAGTTTGTTCATTATCTAAAATTTCATTTATTTTATCATTCTATTGTATAAAAATTCAAAATGGGTGGCAACTCAACAATCTTTTTTCAAACGTGTAATTTTTGAAGCATTTTAGTTAAACACACATTTTGTATTAACTTCTTTTTTTAACAGTTTATTGCGAGTAATTTTTTTGACCGGGTGGCAAGCCTATACAAAAAAGTAAATTACATTTTAAGCTCACTAATGTGTCACCCATTTTATGCATATGGCGGAATTTTTCTGTAAGATTTCTTAAAGTTTTCAAACAGGTGGCATCCCTTTAATTTAAAGTATAAAGTACAATTAATTGGCGAATACTATAGACTATGGTGCTCATTTAATTTGTAGACTTATACTTATTTTATCATTCTAATTACACAAAAATTCAAAACGGGTGGCAACTCCTTTTAAACATTTATATAACTTTGTCATCTTTTAGAGTTTTTTAATTAAACACATATTTTGTAAGAATTACTTTTGTGTTAGCAATTTAATGAAATTAAATTTTTTTAACGAGTGGCAACTTTGTACAAAAGTGCAATTTCCAATTTGAGTCTTCCAATGCGTTATCCATTTCACACATATACTTAAATGCTTCACTAAATTTTCTAAAAAAATTTAAGGACGTGGCAACACTTGAATTGAAAATTATTATTGAAGTGACGAAAATTATACCATAATTAAATGAAGCAAAAATACCTWAAATGTGTGTATATAACAGCATTACTACAATACTCAATGTATTATTATATTAATTCGTTTGCAAAAAATTTTTTTCGATATCGCAACTTTTTTTAAAAAATGTCTCTACTTTTTTCAAAATATTTTTTGCTTGTTGCTCATATTATTATCTAAACTTTTTTATTTAAACGATTTAATTTTATTAAAAAAACTGGAAGGTTGGCAACTTTCTAAAMAAAAATGTATAACCATTTTAATTTAATTCAACATATGTATATTTTGTAATAAATAATTTTTTATTACCAATTTAATACAATAAGATTTTAGACAGCTGGCAACCCTATACAAAAATTAAAATTCCATTTTAAACCCTCCAAACCGCCACCCATTTGTTACAAATGCTCAAATGTTTCACAAGTTTTTCTTACAAATTTCAAACAGGTGGCATCCCTTCTAATTGAAGATATTGATCTTAATTAAGTGGTTAATACTGTACTCTATAAATAATTAAAATAAAAAGCTTTTTTTATAGAGTTCTTCAGCCCAACAATCATTTGGCCTAAAAAATAGAATTGTCTGCAAGTTATAATACTCAAACGTCCAATATAACAAACAATACATTTTTTTTTTTAATTTGTATATTTTTGTCTTATAATATTTAGCGTTATTTATTACAACTAACTCTATATTAACATAATTACAAACATAGACACTAGCAATACACTTTACTACACTAACGGCTATTCTTTTACGTGATACTTTTTCTGGGTTTTTCATCCAGCACTGAGTTTTCGCTCTTCTCCGCTGGTGGTTTCACGTCAACCACGCTTTTAGGCAGCAAGAAATCCGGATTGTCCCATGGCTGTAATTCCATTCTACCGAAGATAAGGTAGAACAAATTACCAAAGAAGAAAACGGCCGCCGCTATGATGAACACCACCTGCCATTGCGAGCGACTATCCTAAAATTTCGAAAGAGAACAAGAATTAATGAAAAGCTGCAAATATACATGTCTCGTATTCAGTACTTACATTTTCTGTTACTATCACACCAACCAGCAGTGGCGTGAGTATCGGTATCACATTAGCTGCCGAATTCACAATACCCATGAGAATGCCCGCATAATTTGGCGACAGATCGATGGTGTTCAAGGCGCTGCCGATGGTTGAACCCGCATTTACACCCACATTAGCAGTCATCAGCACTATGGCTAGGGTCGTTTGATCTTGTTCCAAAAAGCTGACAGCAATCAGACCCACAGCTGGAGCCCAGAGTGCCAATGAGTTGAATGTCTTGCGTAAGGCAGTGAGTGAGAGTATATTACGATTSAGCAGCACATCCGACACAATCAGATACACATAAGACATGCACCACATCGCCAAGTATGGCAGCGCCGAGTAGAGAGCATTTTTCTTCATGTCCATATTAAGTACACCCTTCATGTAGGAGGGAATTTCCGCTTGTAGCGTCGAGAAACCCCATGAATGAGCCGAACGCGCAATCACTAAAGCCCACAATGGCAGGGATGTTAGAATAGCACGCCATGGCACTGGCATCTTACGCGGCACTTCKCCCGCCTCCACCTCYTTTGTGACAGTCTTTTCGGCGTTAATATAATTGAGTTCTTCGGTTGTAATAAATTTTGATTGGCTCGGTTCATTGGCAGCTAAAAAGATCCAAGCGACACACCAAACTAAACCCACGCCACCGCCGACATAAAATAGACCCGGCCARCCGATGCTAGAAGCCGCAATTACGCCACTTATGAACATAGACAGCAGTGTACCGCATTCGATACCCGTATTGGCTAGCGCACCCAAACGATTGCGTTCGCTTACCGGACACCAAGCWGCGAGATGTGCATGCACACAGGGGAACATAAAACCCTGAAAGAAGCCTTGAACAACACGTATACCACAGTAGATACCCCAACCGCCCCAACTGACACATAACGGCGGCAAAAGACCCATCACTGAAGAGCCTAGTGTTGACAAAAGCATTGTGCGTTTAGCGCCAAACCGTCTACACAGATAACCGCCAGGAAATTGCGTGATGAAATAACCCCAAAAGAAACTCGACAGAATATATGACTTTTGTAAATCGGTCCAATCATATTCCTAAAACCGAAATAAGTGGGGATAATTAATGAAAGTTATCTGCGAAACAAGTAATGAAAAGTGTTCTTTACTTACCAGAAAGTCAGGGTTCGTTGTTGCGGCATCTGTCATGGCAACCACAGCAACACTGGCATTAAATTTTGCAACATAATTCACCACAATCGAGGTGAATAGCAAGAAGACTTGTAGATGTCGCTGGCCAAGCAACGGGCCTAGTAAGCAAGCAAGATAATTAGTAWTTTTTTTTTTACAATATACAATATTTTTAAAATTTCTGATCCTAACCAAATAAGCGTTTATGCTATTATGGAATTATATATTATTATTCGCTAAACTTAACTCTTATATAGTAGTTGATTGATTGAAAATCAATAAAAATATTGTTTGTCACTGGAACTAACACTCTTTTGTTGATTACAATTTGCGTTTCTTCTATGGTCAATAGGCAAAGGTTGCCACTTGAGTTGTATTGTAAAATATATAATACGTTTTTATTGCGGCTAATCTTTATAAGCTTTGTATCACATTGCTACTATTCGTAGTGATTTATATGGCGAGTAATGGACTTGCTATCTTTGAGTTGCGTCAGCTGTATTACCCGTAACGTATCAGCATTATATGTATATGTACGGAAATTTGGTAAGTAATCTAACACTAGTCGCTATATTTGTATACAAGATCC